CCCCCGACCTCGAGTGTTCCCACCATTGTTCGCCTTTTATTTTAGGGACATGTGTACATGTAGTCTCTACATGGGCTTCATACGACACTAATTATAGGGCCAAGAAGGGAGTAAAACTGGCATGGCGAAAACACTATAAATTAAAAAATCATTTATTCAGGTAGGACATTTTAGCTGCTTATGAACGTTTTATTATATTTTTTTCCCTACGGTCCAGTTCAGTATATATGTAGATCCAAATGAGAAGAACTAGCAAGAAATTCAATTGAATATTTTATTTATTTGTTAAAGTTTGCAAGCAAGTTTGTCTTTAAATCTAGTATTAATATTGTGAATGTTGCTGTTTTATGAAATCTGTCCAGATTTCTCTATACATATACAATATATAAGAGAATCCTGTACCTACTAGGCGACCTGGAAAGCAATCCAGGGCGCTCCCGACCACTTCCTCCGATATTGTCTCTGATTTTAAGGTCATGTGTAGACCGTTTGAAATTGGTCAGATTTAATGTATAAGAAGATGGCATATCAAATTGTTATTATATACATGTGCGTGACTCTATTACTAAGTGGTAATATTGAGATGCTTAATGATAATTGCTTCCTGCGCCTCAGTGTCTGGCAGACTATTAGGGATGTGAAAAATAATCTATAATAACAATTAGATTATTATTGTGTATAAAAACAAATTTTTGGTTCTATTTTAACATTCTAAATAAATATAAAATCGATTATAAATTCTATTAATTTACATAATAATAGTTTTTATTTAAATATTTTATTTATTTAAATAGCGATGTATTATTTATTTGTATCAAAGTCCTTATAACAAAGTGGTGGCCTAAATGATGACTGACTGATGAATGACTTGAAAATCACAGGCTAATGCTCCAAAAACTAGGGAAAAATCCTCATCATTAACTAAATTTTTATTTTTATTTACCTAATCGATTATTAGAATGTCACATCCCTGTTGGCTATAGTGTCCGCGTGTGCCGAGGTGAAGTCCTCCTATGCGGCCGTGGCACGCTAGGTTCAGCACGGTGGCACACGATTACTATTACCTACTGCATAACATGATTTCCGGCCTCAAGTTACGTGTTCACTATTGGATTATGTATTTGTTTTTATTTCTATCCATTGTTATTATGCCTATATAGTTTTATCAGAATTAAAAATAAGGAGGTATACACACAAAATACAAACTCCTTGTACAAGGAGTTTGTATTTTGTGTGTATACAACTATACAAATGTACGTATAATTAGTAAAAATCACGGGATCTTACCACGTTTTATATTTATTTGCTGAGTTCCCGATATTTCGGTAGTGTTTCAACCACCATGATCACGGGTAAACTGAAGAGCAGCGGGTATAATAATGACCGCGTCAAGTTTAAAACACTATATATACAAATGTATTAGTAAATATTTTATTAATTTGCAATAATTTGTGTAACACATAAATACTAAAATCCATATACATAAATATGTATGCCTATATATCATAGTTGTCCAAGGTATTAATATTTCCGTTTAATGGAGTGTATAATGTCCGACCCCTTAAGAAAAGAAATTATTTTCTTTTCTCCATTTGTTTCAAATTAACAATGCAATAATTTCAATACCAAACAAAAAATTGTAAGTCAGTAATCGCTAACAATACACTACTTCAAGAAAACCCTCACACAGTGTGTGTTGGTCGGTAGAGGGTTTTCTTGGAAGCCATAGTGTTTCCAATACTGATTATATTTCAAAGTGTATTTCTTCCTAATCACGTAGTATGTATATTTAGGTACAAATATTTATTATAGATACATTCTAAAATGGCATCAAGGCCAACGAAAATATTTGCATTTACTTGTATCGCAATCTGAAATGTAATAGCCATTTCAGTATGAAATGAGTTTTTATTTAAATTATATTCATGTGTAACATAATTATCTATTTGGTGTGCATTTGATGGCATTGGCAGTGCGTTCCGCTGCGCGGCTAAAACGGTCATGACTGATGCGATGCGAATTTAGTGCGAATCACATCTAAGTTTTTGCACATTTGATAATTTTAGTTTTAATTACCGTGCCGAAAATATTGTAGGCAATAAGCTATTCGATAATATAGTTTTATTTATGACGATTATTTTTTAATTAGTTAACTAGTTTATTTATTACAAAGAAATCAACACACAAAATTCAAGTCTAATTTTACTTTTTTACGCAAAAACTACTGAAGGGATTTTTATGAAACTTTACGGTAATATAGCTTATACATCAGAACTTATATTTATAATACATGGGCTATAATTAAAAAAAAAAACATATGTACTGTGTAAATTGAACGACACACAATGATAAATGTTTAAATAAGTGTGATGCAGACGAAGTTGCGCGGGACAGCTAGTGTCTTTATAATATATTTGAAATTAATTTTTAAAAGCATCCAAAGAGTCTAATTAAAAAAATATATATTTTATAATTATATGGTATATTTTTAATAATAGCTATATCTCACGACTTTTTCCCCTTAAATGTTGGTTAAAAGTGACTTTATGACAAATTTCATTCAAATCTTTCCAATGGATTAAACATATTAATCAATCAGAAAGGTAGTTTTAATATAAAATACGCAATATAATCACCGAATTATGAAATATACAAATAAAATGTTTTCTGAACGCCGGCAAACTTGAATAAAACGCAGAACATCCGTCATATTTCCTCACACACCTTGATTTGACGATTGCCATTAACATTTACGGTCATGACCACAAAGCTCTTAGTTCTCCACTCAATAAAACAAAGAGGCGTCAACAATAACGACCTTGCCGCACTAGCGACAACGATTGAGTAACATCTTCGGTAGAAAGCAAACTTTCTTCATACCACCAACCTAAACCTCACATTTACGAATTGCGTAAAATAATCGACAAGATAAAAAAACGATTACATTTCATAGTAAGGTTTACGTGACATTCAATTTCCGGTTTTTAATGTTGTTGAATGTCAGTAGTTACTTATTCGCGTCATATTGCTACTCGATAGTGTGTATATTTACAAACACTTTGGTTTAAACTAATTTAGAATATATATTTTAATCTGCCAGCCCATGTGTGTATAAAATAATCGCGTAACGTTGTTATTATCAAATAAAAGACAAGGAACGACAGATATTCCTAAAGCCGTATCCTCTACTACTAGAACTTCATATACCTAAATCTATTTAGAATATATCACGTATTTTCTAATTAAAAAATGTTTTGAAAATTAACTAGATACGTAAAAGATCAATGTGTAAAATAAGTATATTAGTTTCCATAATTGTCGGAATAAAAGGCACAAGTGTAGATATAACTTGTATGAATGTATTGATTGAAATAAATAGAATAGATAAAAAAAAGAGCAACGTGGTCGACGAATTCTTTAATTCATGGATACAACGATTAAACGCACGTTTGTTTGTATTTAGATATGTGCATACTGAGGCGGTCCGACCGCGGCATGATGTCAGGGTCCATTGACACTTTCACCGGAGCCATACCATACCAGGTTTTACGTCACTAGCCGGCGCGACTTGCAGCTAGGGTTATCAATTCAAACAACGATATTTCTTCAAATGTCTGTGATTTTTTGTCATTTTGTTAGAATATTATATGAGGTATGGCAGACAGTATATTTGCTAATATTGTTAGTAAGAAAAAATAAGAACTAATTGATCAATTAGCAGTTATTATATGACTAAATATCACCCATTTCTTAAGCATGAATTACTGATTTTAGTACCAGTGCCATAATAAATTGGTTTGTTAGTTATATCTTGTGCTTAAAATTTCCTGACGATCTAGGTAAATTCTTATTACCTGGCAACCCTATTGGCGGCCCGCGACCAACCGCAATTATATCATCACGAAATCAGCTGCCAGTGCCAGATAAGTAGCACACTGGCACACTGGATTTTGGTCGAAACTTTATTCTTTATCTGATTCATCCACACGCCGTTTTAGTAATTAAGCCTTGCTGGGTTACGTATTATGTATTACTATATAAGTGTCATCTACATTTTATGATGTCATGTCCAACAATGTAGCTTTGTTCTCTGTTAATAGATAAGGCATGATTGCTAAACTATAAAATACATAATAATATGTAGTATGTAGTTATAACAGAAATTCAAATATGTATATTTATAACAAGTTTCAACTACCCGAAAGTTTAAGAAATTACGTAAATTATCAAAATGATTGTGATTTGTATTATCATTGTAGAGTCCAGCACAAGATCTGTATAAATAAAAATATTAGGTTATATTTGTTGCTGTAAAACAACTAAAAGACTAGGTAAATATTGTTTCTCAATTATCATTTGATGTACCGTTTAATTTGAAGAAGAACGAATTAGACTGCTCAATTGAAAGTTGTCTTATAGTTTTAACTATTTGCTTTAAATTCAAGTATTTGCTTTATTTTCTTATTATATTTATATTACATTAGAATTTATGTAATATATAAGTATGTTTTTAATAGAGATATTTAGATAGATTCTAATATTATTATTGTATAATATAATACGACACTATAATTAATAAGTATTTTATGTAATGATATGTTATTTCAGTGTTGCTATTACTAATGACATCACTTCACATCAGTCGTAAGCAGTGTACTGCATTGTAACTGAACATGCAAACAATTTTACATCATCCGACTTATTGTAATAAGTACTTGCAACTATTGTCTTTGTGGTTTCTATTTACTCGTGCGTTGCTTGCCATTCGTCATGGGGTGTAAGCCTTTGTATCTACTTCACTGTTGTGTAACCCAAGAAGTTCAAACGAGAGTCTTAAAATGCTACGGGCAATATTTCGTAACCTTTACATCTAGAATATGCAAACAGTATAAGAGGTATAATGCTGATTAAGATCGTTTGGTTGGAGTTAATTATTTCTATACGAGTTGTTTGGCCGTTCCGTTGACTGATAACGTAAATAAATATAGGTAGATGCTCACCTAAGTTCGGAGAAGGAAATCTTGTACTTTTCTCTTTTCATTTCCACGCCTTTATGTAAAGTCACTGCTGCGTTTCACTCTTCATTTCACAGTGACGCACGGATAGCGTGTACACAGCAGTTGTACATATACACAAGTCACACTTAAAGATCCCACGGAATACCAGTCACATAACGATTTCACGCCTCAGCAGTGCCTGTAATAGAAAAAGAAAGAATTAATGATGATTTCGACTAAATCTCATCCACGGTCCGTGAAAGGAGTGAGACAGTTGGTAGAAAAATATTTAATTATTCTTACAACAAAGTCGTATGGTGATGTAATTCCGATGAAACTAGAATGATGACACGGTCATTATTCACACGGCGTTGGATGGCTACATCTACGAAATTAAAAGTGGCTTTTAACTTATTGAATAAGAAAAATTACAAGTACATATGCTATGTTTAGTTTCAATAGAGATTTCTCTGTATAGTTTCAACATAGAATAAACAAAGATATCTAAAATATTATACATTATGTTTAACAAAGTAAAATAGAGTAAGATATTAATATATGTGTAATTAAAGATGGAATAAAGCTATTTTATTTATTCTTACCTACTAATTACTCCTGACTATAATAATAACAATGATCTGATTTCATATGTACTTACTACCCGTAATATTATGTAGAAGTAATGTTTGTGAGTACGGACGTTTTGTGTAATATCCGGTATGAATGACCAGATTTTGAAAATTCTCTTTGTGTTGGAGAGTCCATTTATCGAGAAAACTTATTATAGATTATATAACATCACTCTACGATCAATAAGAGCTGAGCTGCAAAGAAAAATGTTGCAAAAACGTAAAAAACTGTCGCAACGAAATTGCGCAGGTCAGTTAGTGTTTAATAAAGACAAGATTCCTTGCACTACATAGATTAACTATAGTATTTTTAAGCGATGATAATGCAATGGTGCACACGTCAATGGTATACGCTGGCGGGTCACCAATGGAGGATGATAAGATGAGCATGAAATCAGGCCACGATGTAGCAGGAATTTGCTACATCATGGCAAATTCACTAGGAATTTAACATGATGGTTTCCAGGGGAACTTCGTGGAGTACATTATACAACCTGATACCTACATTGCAATGGTAGCCCCATTGCCGGTGACCCTTAATCCATATTAGCAAAAATCTCCTTCCCCACATATCAACTACATGTAGTTATAATGACATTTATTTATTGTATGTCTCTCAGTTTATAATAATATGATTAGTTGTATGACTATGTTAATTATATCGTTACGGTTAGATTGGCCTTAATTCCGAAAATCTCAATAAAAAAACAGAATATTAAATACATATTTATGGTAAATGGTTCTAAAATGTCAGCTATCATTCACACTATGCTACTGCACGCGACGTATATATATAATTTAAATATATTATTTATGACCTATGGCACAAGGGGGTCATGATGTCTACATTTGTATTGATAGTGAGTCATATATTAAAGTTAATTATATATTTAAATATATAAATAAATACTGTTTCTAACCTGCATTACAGTTATGTAACTTGACTTATATTATTATATTTAATTAAATTAAAGACAAATTACTTTAACATAATGTGGTTAAATTATTATAATTTATTATCTTATACGTACATCTAAAATTCTCGTCACAGTTAGTAGTTTTTAGTTACCATACTCCTTCTACCGGCTTGACCGATTTTTATGAAATTTAAATGCATATTCAGTAGATCTGCGATCAGCTATTATATCACTTTCATACCTCGAAGTGATAAGGGTGGTTCATCCCTAACATTTTATTTATTTTTTGGAAGATTTTTTTATTTGTTATCATATTCTTCTTTGGCATTAAAAATACATACAACCCTAAATTTTTACCCTTCTAGCATCAACCCCTATTTTTAACAACGATTTTAATTTTTATGGCAAAACAACGTTTGCGGGGTCGGCTAGTGATAGTATATATTTCATTTGCTAATAAGGAAAATATTATAGCAGTAGGTATTGAGACGTTTCGTGAGAAAATTAATTCATTCGATACACTGTAACCATGTAAGTAAAATATTATTATTCTGTAAAAGTTGTCTTAATGGAGGTATATAGCGCAAATTTGATGAAGGCACAGTGAATGTTTTAAATGAGTTAGTTGCGTGTAAATATATTCATTTATTATTACCTCTTCAAAGTATAATTCGAAAGAGAATTGATATAAATATTAGTACCTGTAGTACCCGTAAATATCTCAAATACTGATTTATTATTATAAACTACTAAAATAAACATTTTTGGTAACTAAAAAACGCATAAGATGATTTTAACTTTAAAATATTCAGCACACATTAACTCTTTGATAGTAATATGTTCATCTCTCTATTCTATTTTGAGTTTCTTTTCTTATTTATCCTTTTCCTAAAAAGTACGTATCCCTAAAAAGAAAGCAACAATATTCACTTAGGTTTTATTGAGATCTTCATGTATCATAAACTGACTTTTAGGGTTTCAATCGGAATTGGGTTGCCATACATAATATTTATTTATTGCTCGATTTTATATAAAAATATTAAGATATATGAATATAAAAAATAGTGAAACAAAAGGATAAAAAAGAAAAAAATCATTTTAATATTTTAGATATTCAAGAACATTGTACTAAAATAATGTATAAACTGGTATGGTTTATATATTATCTTAGTACGATGTTCTTCAGTACTGAGGTTCTATAAAAATATGCACCTAAGGCAGCGTGATTCCTAAGAACAAAAGTGTCATGTCTGCTGAACCTATAATTACACTACTCCTTTAACGTGAATCGAAAGTTAAAGTTTCAGAGTAAGTTAGATATATTATCTGCGGAACTCTATTGATAATCCGATGCGGTCTTGGTTTGTTTTTATACAATTAATTTTATATTGCTGTGCAATATGTTGGGCAAGTAGCAATTAGATTCTCATAGAACTCCGTAAGTATAATTAGGGCCAGTAATAAAACAAATATGTGAAACAGAGAACAACTAATTAGTTTCATTGTATAAAATAAAACAAACCTTTACTGTAATAAAAAATCTGAGATTAAATTTTGTATGATTAAACAAAAGCCGAAATCTAAAGAACTAATGGTGAATTTGATATCTAATGTAATAACGACTTCCATTTAATATCGAAATGTATACACTAGCCCACTCAGAAAAGTTTTTCCGGTTGCATGATGAATCGTCTCCAGTCTGAATGAATTTTTAGGCGTAATGTTATTATAGTAATTTAGCTACAATCGTTTCACTCCCAATTCACTCACACCTAATATTTGTCTAATTAGTGTACTGCATTTATCACATACCGATAGACAGACAAATATCTGTGCAGTGTGATTATTATCTAACAAGTATAACAGGTACTTTATAGAAAAAAGGTAATGAAAAATATTCATTAACACTCATTTGTAGATGCAGATATTTGCGTGGTTGCAAAAGACGGCCTTCGCTTGGAGCCAAGCAGGCAGGACCCGAGGCGATTGGCCGATGTTTCTACAATCGATTCAAACCACCTATAATTACTCATTACCATTACGCTAATGGAGCCCCGATCGGGGCCGTGCCTTACGTGCTTTGTCACGACTTAATAATAACATTTAAGGCGCCTGCGCTGATATTGACGTCCTCTCTAATACACACTAATAACACTCATACAGTAATATAACATGTCATTATTTAATGAGTTGTACATTTTTTTATTGCTAATTGGATAAGTGGTATTTAAGAAATATTATAAGTAATACGATTAAATAAAGCTAAAATATTACTACTACTACCTACTACTGCTCGAACTTCCAATAGGACGATACACATCACTAAGTAGTAGTAGTTCTTATTGCGGAAATGTAGGTAATAAATTTCTAAGGTTTAATATCATTTTTAAAATGCTGACGGTTCCGACAGACGTCGTCCTGCTTCAAAAAGCAGCGCCACTGCGTTTTCACCCATCCAAGCTATTGACAATATTTCATTCTAATTAGTCTAGGTGTATAGGAGCTGGGTTACAATCACACATACAGAAGAATCTGTAAATTAAGGTACATTGAATTGCACAATTTAAAAAAAGTTGTAATTCATTCTGTTAATTTTAAGGGTTTAGAAATAATTACGCACCTATTTGCTATCCCAATACTAACCAACACTGTCCACTGGTGGCCACTCAATTTGGCTGTTTGTAGCATACGCGTACGTGGCTTAAACTAAATTGAAATATAGAAAATGGTTAGCCATGGGACGTATTGAGTATATTTATAGAGCTACATACGCTGTTATTGACACGCATGAAAGTAAACATAAGGAAAACTAAAATGCAAACATGATGACGTCGAAGTCTCGTGGCGCGGTGCGGCAGCGGGCGGCGGGTTGCTTGCGCAAGAGTGGTCACACAAACATCGATCACAGGCGGCCTTGCCCGAAATTCTTCTTTGACCACCACCACGCTACAACCCTCCCCACTTTTATTGTTAAAAAGCTTTGTTAAACTAGTTAAATAACTAAACTACGTAGGCGGAGTGTGTGCAGAATAGTAACTTATTTATTATGTAACTGGAATGGTAAACAAATTGATATGTCACCTGGTGAAAAGTGATAATCGGCTATACATGAACAGCACCATAGACAGCATAACAGTATAACACCTGTTGTGATTTTGAAGGACGTCACAACAGGTGTTATACCTACTGTCTATAAAAGATATTTCTAACACATTGTTGTTCCTGTGGACTAAGTAATAACAACGCCTTCCAAACTCTGTCAATTTTTGATGTCATTTTTAACCTGCAAACCTATAAACGTATATTCTGATGAAAAAATTTGACCTACCAATGACACAACATTTTGTTACTGTACTGTATGTTAGGCAAAGATGTAATAACTTGTAATCACTATAAGTGTATTGCTACTAAATGTAATATAGAAAAATAAGAGCTTTACTAACATTAGATTAAAAAATATAAACTAACAAATGAGCCATTGATGCTATAACACTAAAACTGAGTTATAACGATCATAAACTTTTCTAAAAAATAATATTTGCTTGGTGTACGCATATATTTCTAGACAGCGTCGCTAATGGACGCTTTGCCAATCAAATGCACACACGTCAAAAATTACTTAAAACATTACCAGACCATTAGGTACGTAATATAAAAATTACAGGTAATGAGATGTGAGTATATGCTATCGTGTATATATAGTAATAATTATTAGGTTTACTAATACATTTAGATATATGAACTGCCAATATAAAATTAATTCTCGTAACTGCTTCAGCTTGCACTAATACACTAATTCAATAACACACTAAAATCCAGCTGGTCGGCAGGAGTTTTATTATTGAGTTTATTTCAAAATAATATTATTCTTTAATTCGATTTCGTGTATGGAACCGAAAACTAAATTATTTGCGGCTGCAGTAAATGGATTTCATGCCGTTTCCTAATTTTTATTCAAATAGTTTCATTTAAGTAAGATTAGCTAACACCAATAAAAATAAAAAAAAAATTAATCTCATTAAATTAATACAAGATTATGTTAAAAATTGTCTACTCTAATATTGTTGAAATTTGTATGGGACTGTCACTTGAGTAAATTCTATCGACTGCAACAAAATCGGAATAGAATACCCAAAATTGGCGAACATTTCAAAATTCATATATAGGTAATTGTGTTTCATGTTTATAATTATATGTCATAGACTACTTTTGAATGCTGTTTTTACCTTTCCGTATTATGTTAATTTCGGTAGCCCATTCTAGTTCTTGTCATAACTCACTAACCTTAAAAAAAATGCAGATATTCTCATACAGTATGGTATTCACGACTGTGATACGACTCAATATATACAGGTCCGAAATAGAACGCCGCAGTATGGGATGATTTACCCGTATTGTATAGCGAAAATAATATTTTTACATTTACATTTAATATAGGTAATATTAAATAATATTAAAAATACTTTCTCAAACACATAGTATTTTATAACAAATACAAATACTGTTTGTTTGACATAGTAGAGATTTTTGAGTTTTTCGGATAAGGGCAATAGCAACCCTTCTCGGATCGCACGGATGTAGGTACTATATGTGACTAGGATCATATGATTCAAATTATCGAAATGATTAGTGAAAATAATATCAAAATCGGTTGAATGGTTTAGAAGTAAGCGAATAAACAGACCAATGCAATAGCAACTTTGCTTTACATTACAACTTTGTAGACTGTTAAATGATCAAGATAATAAATACACTTGTTTGGATATAAACGAATGCGTTTATATGGCAATATTTAATGTTCAAATTCTGTATTTTATAAGAGCCGACTTTTATATGGCGTATTCAAAGTATACGTGGGAAACTGTAACACATTGTTAATGAAAATACGAAATGCGACATCTGTGGCTGTAGTTCTGTGGGAATTTAAGAGGCAACTCTGCACAATGGTTAAGTTTACACGGGCTAGTATTAGCTAGTAAACAATTGAAACAAAGATAATCAACGTCATTGCTGATTCGCAAACTATCAGCAAATTATGTTTAATTGTTACGAGTCTACTTATATTACTTATAGCTTGGTTTCTCTACCACAAAATGTAAAGATTTTTATTTAAGACAGTACGGACACATTATGTTAATACCTAGGTTAGTCAAATTCAAATTAAATAAAATGAAATCACAAATTGTTCTACCCGTCCATCACTTCGTACAGTGATTTTTTTATAAATGATTCCTATATAATATCTTTCATATTGTGAAATTTACATTTACGTTTATGGCTAACGCTTCTCTCAGAGAAGCGAACAAGATTTCATATAGATGGAAGATCGAACAAATGTCAAGACCGTCGATGTAACGCAGCCAATTGGTGTTGCAACCAGGACCAGAAATATGCCTGCCTCGCTGTCGAGTCAAGTGGAACAATAATCTTGGATAATGTTGGTACATACTTACCTTAGAAAGAGTTAATTTAAATAGGAAATAGATTAAGCAAGCTGAACTAATTTTGTTACAGCATTTGTTCAATGAAATACAATGCCTGCTCTCTCAAATAAAAGTTACTTCATTTTCATTTCATTGCCAATCATTTAAGAATTATCATGACTGATTTTTACTGCACAAGCAGCTTCATTTTATTACGAACTTTGAAAAATATAGTATAAAATTGAACATCTCACGAATAGCGTTTATTTAAATTATTATTTAGCTGTGTAACAAAATTTATAATTGCTAAGAAATAATTATTTTGAACAATTAAAATACAAGGTCTAATGGGCAGTATCTTAACGGATACATTGAACGTAAAACGCTTACTGCGCTTGAAGTGTACATTAGAACATTTTAATTGTTTTAAGAATAAACCGAAGTTCCACTATTTACTCAGCGATAAAATGACGAGATGCTATTAGGATCTCTATCTAGCGGCAGTGGAGATCTACGATATAAGTGTATAGTCATGCATTGCTGTACAAGGAGGACAAGCTGTTATTAGACTTTTTTTCTTAGTAAATACTAATAAAGTAATATATTAAATAATAATGCCTAAATCCCTTGAGGATGGCAGTAGATCCCCTATCTACTGCCATCCTTTATTGCGCGAAATTAAATTTATTTTGTCGTATTCGATTGATATTGATTAGGCGTTCATTCTTATAACGCCAATATTTGTGTATTAGAAATATGGAGATATACCGACTGTATTGGCAAACTCAGTGTAGAACTGTTAGATGATGCATGTTATAGTCAATCAAATAAACGCGGTAGGCACTGGACCCATCTTTATATGAGTAGATATATGATAAAGTATATAAGCTCTATGCGGCAGTTGAATGTGAATGACTCGCATGATGATAGTGAAATTTACTTTACACAATATATAAAATTGTATTTTTTAAATTATTGATGGTCGCTTAAGAAACTTGTGAGTATCTATTGTTATTAGTATATTTAATAAAGTTGTTTGACATTACTTATGTAGTCATGTCACTAGCGTGGAGGACAATGAAATTTGTATAATACCCACAGCCCACAGATTGTATTGTTTTATGTGATGATGAACACTTTCTAACGTAAAAGAAAGTAAATGTAATCGGGTATGCGAAATTTGTCAAACCGACATTCATAGTTGACTGTAATGACAAGTCATCATGTAGATTTAGCTGTTGTGAGAGCAATGTTATATTTAACTTTAAATTTCTTTTGTTTTATTGTTATAACGTATGCAGTGCCTGTGACACAATCCATATACCAATAAGTTTTTTATAATATGATTAAAAAACTAAACATCCTGAACTACGGTATGAAATAGTTAATTTCAACATCTGGTGAACAGTCGTAGGTACCGAGTTCGGTTACTAATTGGTCAATATATCGTAAGAAACCAGGAACTTAATTTTGAAAATTTAGTGTCTTTGGAGTTTATTGCAAAAAGAAAAAAGTGTGCAATTATATGTGCTACTTTATGGTTAAGTATTTTTGAGATTATTACAAACAAAAGTGCAAAACTTCTAAAATAATATTAGTTTACACAGTGATTGCAGAGCTATTTTATGACGGAATACATGTCACTTTATAATCAGTAGGGCTTGAACTAAAATAAAGGCACATTATAATAGTTACGACAGTTGACTTTGTGTCGAAAGTGACAAAGACACGGAGCACGTGGTTACACCAAGATAAAATATAAATTGTCCAATCGATTCATTGGACACAGTGTTGTAACGAAGAATTTATTCAATAATGCTAAGGAGGGAGGATGGTATGTTACTAAATTTTTCTACACATGACTGTTGAATGTTAATTTAACTTTTGGAAATTACGTACTTATGTATACGTGTACACATAGGTATATTACGTGTGTAATCGCATTCTTGGATACGACGGGCATTTTAAAGAAAATAAAGGTTTGTCTTTTAATCTATATGATTAAAAGATTTAAATTAGGATTTAAATAGGCATATCAAATATTTTTAGAAATAATTGTATGGCTAGGAAAGCTTAATAGTTGTTAATTATTATACAGGAGTCACAAAGATGGAAAAGAGTGGATTATCCCAATTATTTTTTAATGTTGGAAATATATTTATGCACTTGGAAATAGATCAATAGGAGTCCAACTTAGAAATATTTTGATTAGGTATCAATATAAAATCGCAATATAGATTCGCAGCAAAGAATCATTACTCATCACAAGAATAAGACATTTTGCAAAATATCGCGTAACTATGTCAAAAACTCCGTAGAGCCTTGTACAATGTGCAATATTTTCAATACACACTGATATGTAATCTGAGCATTTCTGCGTATTAAAGCTAAACCAGTACAACAACGATGTCACCACTTGTGGCAGTATGTATTCTGAAAACAACGCATGCAGGATTAAAAAAAAGAAGTGCAGTAAACTGTTTTAATTGGGTACAAGGATGTCAACTGGTGCCGCGGCGTGTGTACTTCGTTCGGTGGTTCGGACCCCGCTACTAACTATAGTTCTTGTATTACAAAGTATCCTACAAGTACCTGTCATTGGACCGGACCAGATGTATCCTTATTTAGTCAGCTTAGAGCACACAACACGAATAGCGGACTTCCGCCGGAACGTTTCACACCACTAGCACAAGGAAATGAGTTGCGGTTACGAAAGTCGGAGGTCGCCGACAGAGAGCGCCGTCGACGCGTGATCACTGAAAACTAACCCGCGCTCACCTGCGCTGACGCAGCGCCGCCGTACCGCTGAACCACAGTGGAATGAAAGCGTGATGGAAAGGGACAAACGGTTATTTCTTTCTTTCACTCGTATAGCTAAAATAGCGCCTTTCTTGTCGACCTATTGGTTGATAGTTCAATAAGCCAGACTTTGCAGTTCTATCACAAGGTGTCATAGGATAGACTTTGGCACCTACTTAGTGCACCAATTTGGATTTGTGCACCAATGTATTATATGGTGCTAATCTTAGCTTATATCGACGTACGCGTAAATGCGTATCTTTTCATTTTAGGTGCTTTTTTATATATCCTAAATATGAACTTACTTAGAAGGATTTAAAAATATAAAATACGACATACTGTAGATAGGTACTTTTTTAATGTTTAACTGGATGTATTAAACCTTTGGACCACTGATAATATTTATAAAACCGAACAATTTTCAACAAGAAGTAGAGTGGAAATCTGAAATTATATTTTATACTATGTATCACGTGACCGCGCAGTTCGTGTGGAAAGATAGAATAATTTTCAAATTTTCACTTTTGTCGTTTTTTTCTCTTTATTTATTTAAGAGCTTAGGATCATAATAGTGCATATGTTAGCCCCGTCTCATCCTCTAAATTAATTAAATACTTACATATTTTATATTTACATTGCATCAAAAAATATGCTTGTCGTTTATGTTATTTAATTTTATATGTATACCTTTAACTAGAGAGTTGAATTGGTATCCCATTATGAGTTACCTACCTACCTAATTCCATATATAGAATTTATACATGCTATTTCTAGTACCTACGTAATACACAAAAGATAGGTATATCTTTTGTGTATTAAACATTTTTTATCAAATAAAATTGAGCAAATATAATCATATTTACGGTGTAGTTAAAGTAATTAAAATTAACTTGGTTAAGAGTAATGTAACTACTTACTTAGCTACTCGTATATTGTTGCAGAGTTACAGATGTGAAATAAAATATAAACATACCTAGATATTTGTCTTGTTCACAGCTCGTTACGTGTGCAGTGGCCTTATACTGTGATAATTTACTGGCACTAACATTTGAGCGGTAGTGTGACATTTATTTTGTGGTAACTGTAAAGCAAATTTTATCTACGTTCACCATTAGTAAAAATCAGAATGATTAGTTAAACTAATTTTAATATTTTGTTACTGCGAATTTAAATCGACAACGGAAACTAAATGTTTGGATATGTTTCTGTAAATACAGAACCATCTATAGGCACCATCTTCTGGTGGTGATATAAAAAAATATTAGGTACTTATTTATTTCTTTTACTTTTTCATTTTATACAACCAACAACAGATAATAAATAATATTTATCCATGCACATGATGTTATTACAGTTTTTTTCTCGATAATTACGATAAGATAGTGACACTATTGCAAAAATATACCTACACTGAAGTCTTGCAATGCTTATTCAGACAATTTTATTGTAGATGGGTATTCATTATGCCAACTTTGTAATAATTACTATAATACTATATATATATATATATATATATTTATGACTGATAACTTATTCAATGATTTTAAAATAGTATTGTGGACAAGTTGCTATTATTATTTTATTGTAATTGGACTGGCAAACTAGCTGACGGTAAGCGGTCATCGTTACCTATATGCATGAACAGCACTATGGAGGACATGAATGACAATATCGTGTGATACCATGGATTGCTATTGCAAGAATTACAGAATAAGAAACATGGCCTGCTTAATCGCACTCTATAACCGAGACATAGATTACAAGCAAGCTGTAGAGCGGATGAAATAAGTGAGACTAAAGGTACCTACGCAGGGACTTTTTATAGTCTACCAATGGTGAAAAATTACTTCCGTTTCGAAATCGCTTATAACTCGCAATGATTTAATCTTTATACATATGTATTTAATTGGTTTTTTAATAGAAATCAAGATGTGTTGAAGACGCTTCAACATTGATATTCCAGTAATTATCTCTCTTGATTAATGATTCATTCGTAATTGTAAGGGTTATATTTAATTACTATTACACTTCTATAGATAGATGTATAATAAAAAAATATAATGTATTTAATTTTTGTTTACATTTTCAATATGGCTACTGAACTTATCCATGATATGGAGCGACTTTACAAGATAAGTTATATACAATACGTAGCAGTGAAAAACGTATTTAATTACTTAATTACCTTTAATTTTATAAGTAATTATAGTACACTTACTATTTTTAGACCGGGCCATTATTTCTTATTGTTATTATTATGATAATACTTACCATTTAAATGAAGTAACTATTTGTATCTTATAATTTACGATTATTTCTGGGTAGGTATGAGGGTAATACGAAAACGTAAACAAATAGAAATAAATACACAGAGAACATCCATGTAGGATGTTGCAAGATTACTAGCTATCCTATTGCTATGTACTTTTATTTCATGAATCGAATTTGGTCATATTAATTTTATAATAAGTACATAAGATCCACTTAAATGACGAAAAAATAGTTTAACCTACATTAATGCCATTCAAAAATCAATAGATTTTCTTGAATGCACTTTGAGCAACTTCTCTTGCATTGCCTTTCCTCATTTCTCAATTCAATTGTTAGAAATGACCGTATTGTATTCAATATTCTTTGAGTTTAGTATTACATTAGGTAAATTTGCATAATTTTTAAAAATACAAATTGTTAATGGTTATATAGATATTGTGCTTTTTATTGCTATGGTTATTCTTATTTGAAAATAAACAGTTGATTTGTTCAAAATAATTAATCTATCAAAATAATTAGAATTATGTTTATATAGTGACATGGCTACTCTGATGTGATATATACTCGTAGATGGCATTATTGGGAGGAGCTTGACTAGTTTAGTACTACCACAGATAATATAATATTATAGTACTACTTTAGTAGTCTCGGCTCTACACGTACAACGGCCCAATGAGAGGCTGACTACGGAAAACTCCAATTTACATTTACATTAAAACCTAAATGACAAGATTAAACAAAATATCAGTATCGACTCAAAATAAATAAAAATGTAACTTAATAACTTGTCTTTTTGACCGATACGCAGGCAACCTGAATCCGAATTCGCACATTGTAATTACATTTAGAATTGTGTTGCAATGTGCATCAATCTGAACCGAAGTGTTTGGTGTAATTGGTGCAATATATATAGTGCACTAGTCAAGGCGCTATGGCCTTAATTACAGGGCCTTAGTAATTTGTGGGTGCGCTTATACACACGGACTGAACGGATGGAAAATATTGTTAAAAAATAAATTGTAAAAAAAAAAATAAGTTTAAATTGTAACATACTCACCTTGGGTTATCCAGAATGTAGTCTGCTAAATATTAATATGTACCTACTAGGAGCCTATTTACTCTTAAACGTCTCAGTTTTACAATACATTCATATGTTTTTATTACTCGAAAAGAAAGTTGGAGAGCAATATTAGTTACTTTATGATTTTATATAGCTAACTCTGCACTGAATTTAATAGGTACGTCAAACATCAATTCTACGGTAACAAATTGTGATGAATTGATTGTAAATTACGAAGACACAAAATCTTTGCTCAGCAACATAATAACGTTCCTTCTAAGAAATTCGTGCACTGCCTACATGTTTCTTTATTGTAGAATTGAATTAGGTATGTTCTAGTTTTTAATATTTTCATTTTTATATTATATATTAGAAATGTTCAGTTGAAATTCAATAATTCAAATAAATAATCATTAAATTATGATTCTGGATATGTACGCTTGAATTAAAATCCTAGTGTCATTAATCTGCAGCAGTTTTCTAGTTGGTAATACAATTTCCTATTTGTTATATAAATATCCTTGCGTTGGCTTTGTACATCGTGACTGTCTGTCTCGAATCGGCAAGGCTATTGTCTTACCTTTTACTTTAGATTAAGAGCGAGCCTCAAATTACCGTCCATAAATAATCCAAGTACGAATCTTTAAGGTCTGGGAACTATCATCACAACGGCGCCCACTTCACGCGGCCTCTGTTATTAAATGCTTGCAGATGAATTATTACGCATGAAGGTACGGGAGCTTTGTTTATATTTTTTTCCTGGTTAATTCACACAACGCTATTTAGTCCCAAGGTAAGCAGAGCTTGTTATAGGTACTAATGAACTGATACAGTTTTTAAATACATGATATACGTAGAATACACCCGGAATAATACAAACAGTCATACAAATGAATACAAATGTTTATATTGAGTGAAAAATCAATATTAGAAATAGGGCGATATACCAAACCGTTAGACAACCGAAGCCATCTATTAGGTATTTGTAATAGTTAGTGGTCTTTTTCCTCCAGGGATAGCTGAAAATTCGCCGCCCCTCTATTTTCATAATAGTTATACTACTATAGTATAGTATTTTATTATATAATAAAAAAATAAATATTCAAATAAAGTAGATTAATTATTGTTATGAATGGTTGCGGCTGGGTTGAGAACCCCTACGTACTGATTACTATGTAATATTATATTATCTGTGTGATTACTAAACCCAATATACCAGTGCGCTATAAATCAGATGTTTTAATTGACGCATCACTACAGCTTTTTTTCATTGCTATACTTAACAATTAAATACATACTTTTTTGTTAATTAATACAAAAAAATATTATACTCATCGTGATTTTTATATGACATAGATATTTTAGTTTAAAAAAAATGCAATGCATTCTGCCTTTTCGGGATAGCCCATGGGGGCTATCCCGAAAAGGCAGTATAGCTATGGAGCTATACTCCCTCTGCACTCCCTTACTAGCCAGTAGTAATAGTGAACAAGGTTTTATTAAATGTCTATGTACGCTAGCTATTAAATAAAACAGAGATTCAATTATACTAGCCAATCTTTATTTATATTTTTTACAATTATTTACAAGATACAAACGATTAAGTACTTTAAAAATAAAATTACAACAAATCAGATCGCAATGAGTATTATTACATTTGTTATTTTAATAACTCCATTACACATTTGGTAATTTGTGCTTTGTACATATATTGAAATGCGTATTTTTATATTTTGTACTAAATCATTGCTATGAAGATTGATCTATACAATAAAAAAAACTTATTAAATATAACACTAGAAATAAATACATTTTATAACTAGTTTGTAATTCGGGATGTTTGTTGTTCTGAGTTCTTGATAAAATAGTGTCCATTCGAGTTTATATATTTTATTATATTCCTTATATTTAATAAATAGTACACTGTAACATCATTTCATAAAAATATAAATTAAATCCTTAATTAAACAAATCTCTTATGACAGCGATCATGATATTTGAAAAATGGTATAATTTCATATTATTTTATTTTCAATAATTGCAAGTGCATTATTTTTCCATTTTATTATCTCGAGAATTAAGATAATATATGTAAAAGTATATTAAAATAAAGTTACAAAATAAACGTATAGATATTTATTAATGAAAACACAAGAGTTTGAAGAAATGTCCAATGTACCATGTGTATACATGGAAAATCCTTCTTTTCCATGTATATAGTAATTTAATTTTGGTTTATAGCTGTAAAAAGATAAAGATCATTTTACTTCGCCATAATTAATGTGTAAATATAATGAAATCTTTTTTCACCTTGCCTATAGCATATTATTATAGGAATATTATAGGGGTAGCATATATTATTTCAGTACATAGCTAAAGGAATAAGTTCTAGGACATTGATGTCAAGTAATTAGCTGTAGTTATTTATACAGTACTGTTAGAAAAATAATATTATTAAACATAATTAAGTAGTATCTGTACATAATATTTATATTAATTTATTTTCCATTCATTCGTCCATTTTGTTTAATCAACCCAATAGAAACACACTAATATAATACATAAAACACAATAACGATTATTAGAATTTTTTCAGCTTGTGCTCTTGTCGATTGTCGAAATCGATTTGGGTGTTATTATCACTAATATACCAACGTTAGGTACGCTTCACTTAAAATTTTGTGTTTGTTTGATTCTAAAAGTTTACGGAACAAAATATTATAACGGTAAAGTTCACGGTTATTTAGTTTTATATATACAAAGTAATGTTTCAGAATTATCATGGTAATGTTTATAGAATTAGGAAATATTTGCGAATTATTTATTATCTCATACATATATGCTTCACTTTGCATATATTTTAACGACTTTGATAGCTATCTACAAGAATAATTAAATTAACTATCTCACTAAATACATTATACAAACTCTATCTAACACATTAATAAAATAAATAAGCAAATACATTGGTAACTCGGGAAGTGGTATTATTCTAACTTACAAATGATTCTGCTAATTTTTAGCCTAAATTTATCTCTAAAGTCCAGTACATGTGGCCGTCGTAGGTTACCCGAAGTTCTCGAAGTGATGTATGAAGTACGGGAGCCGACGAGTGCGGTTGACTTGTTCACATGCAGACATTATTGACTTTGTCAGTGGACGAGGTCCGCATGAAAATACACCGATCTTTGATACCTGCAAGCATATAATATTATTCGTATAGTGTAAATAGCGGTAGAAATTCGAGTTGAATTATTTTAAGTTATAAGCTTGTATATTATAAAGGTTCTATTGTCAGAGACACTTCTATAATCACAGGCATTAGCAGTGTCCACTGGCAAAAAATAAAAGACGTGTGTATGTGAAATATATGTTGCAGTGTATAATATTTTTTTATTAATTTAATGTATGATTGATTATATGCTTAAAAATAGCATTTTGCACTATTTCTCTATATAAAGTATAAGTGAGAGAAATTTCATACTCCTCAGTCCATAGTCTAATTTCGAACACTAAGCGACCACTACGCCTTTTTTAAATAAACATACAAGTTTTATACTTATTGTTACGTATGTGTTTAGCTTTGCTGCTTTAAGATACTATGTATTTGTTTGTTGCTTGAATGTTCATTATTATAAAAACTAAAATATATTAATAAAACATCAAACTATACCTACAATAACTCTCATATATGGCCATTGCTAAGAATTACTAAGGATTAAATTGTCATGCATCCATATCCTGTATATTCACTGTTATATGAAATGAAATGAAATCAAAAATAATTTATTCATGTAGGACATTTTAACCACTTATGAACCTCAAATTTTTTGTCTTAATATTTTTTCCCTACCAATATATATCTCAAACCATCCCTCTTTCCTGTTCATTGTGTATATATGTATTATTACGTGAGCTTTTAATATAAGCAAGATATATGTATATACAAGTATACATAGGTATACTCACATAACTGTGTTTCTTCTGCACGAACTTGAGGAACGAGGACATGTCTGGGCGACCGAAATGGTTCACCGCCTTCAAGCCGGTGAACATGGACGTACGTGACAACCGCTGGAAGTGGTTCTCACAGATGTACTGCACAAAACAATACACACACATGTCATAATTTTATTATTTGACGGTCTCGGTGAACTAGCGGTTTTCATAGCGCCCTACTTTCGACGGTCGCAGGGACGGATTCCTGCACTGTACAAATATTCGTATTCATGATATGATTGTTTATATCGGTCTGGAATCGAACCCGCGACCATCGGAAGTTAACCGCTAGACCACCGAGGCCGTCAAATAGTTGTTATATATTGGTATCGTAAGTATATAGGTACAATGTGGTATACATACAAGCATGGTGGTGCGAAGATCGAACTTGTGGAAGAACTGCGTGATGAATATATGTATCTCGAGCACGTTTGTCACGTCCTTCCGCTCCACGTCACGGAGCACGTCGATGAACCACTCGAAGTGTTTGTGTGACGGACAGATCCACAGGAAATATACCTTTTATTATGAACATTATTAGTTATTAACTGACCGAGATTTCATATCCAAATAACAATGGTTAAGGAGCTCGAGACTTCATATTCATGATAATCTTAGTAATAATGGATTAAATCTTTTTATTTGTAAACCGGTTCAAATAAATAAACAATAAATTTTAAGTGAAGTCGTTTTTCATATTAGCTTACCACCAGAATCACAAGTTAATTTAATTAGTAATTCAATTAGTCAGCCTTTCTTTACTAATTATCAATACATATGTAACAAATATAAAATATATAAAAAAATACAAAAATTTATATAACTGTATTTGAACGATAATACACACAGAGATGCAAACAGTAATTAAAAGGATTTAAAAGGTGACTACATTCATATATGTTAAGTGGCTACCTAAGTACATATGTTCCTTGTTAAATTTTTATTTGTCTATAAATTACATTGTTCACAGACCTTTTTGCAGGCAACACCGGAGTATCTGTTAGTAGAAGTGCCAAATACGAGGTCGTTGAGTATAGAGGCATACGGCGTGACTCCTATACCGCCGCCAACCATTACTGCCACTTCAAATTTGTACCAGTCTTGATTACCGCCTCCGAATGGACCCTGGATTCTAATGATAAATAACAATTGAATTATAACTATATTTAAATAACTAAACAATGAATTTATAATTATCGACGTCTTCCTTTTTGCAACTGTTATGGTTAATTTCTGGTGAATTCCCTATGATAGAATAACAAGCCTGATTTAATCATCTTTCACCGTGTCTCGCCAATGTATATTGTTAGCACAGGCGGGTGTACCGACATAAATAATGTATAAAAAATATGATTTAGGTAGAAAATAAGCGTGGTCATACATCACACATACAGCGGGATTTACACCCGAACAAAATAGAACGTGTATAATAGGGGGAATAGATAGAAACACCACTTTATTTTTATGAGTACCTGTACTGTACGTAACCGGGTCGGATAGCTCGTATTATTATATATTTATATGCTTACCTTATTTTTGGTTGATCTTCCGGGTTGAAGTTGCATGGGTCGAAATAATTCCTTAGCTTCCAGGTCCATGGTCCCTGTGCTTTGATGTGGCAGGAGAGGAAGTTCTCATGCGGCGCTGATGTCAGCGTGAACGAGTGGAACTCCTCCTTCCTGAACGACGTACACGCTAGTCTCACCCATTGGCCTGATATGAAATATTTACATTATTTTCTGCTTTTTCATCTCATGATTAACTGAGATAAAACTTCAGGGGAAAGGGGATTAAGGGGGTAATTATAAATACTAGTTGTCGACCAATGGTTGAACCATAACTAATTTAAATTATAAGGTTGGACATTATTAAGGTTCTATTGTCAAAGTCTATACTTCTATACATGTGATATTTAATCTCTAATAACTCAACTTCCATCAAACAGCATATTTTTGAGGCAAATGGCAATCATGGATGTCGTTGTTGCAGTAAACAGAGCCAATATTCTCATAATTCGGTGTGTATACTATACTTAAATCCAACGCAACAGACAGCGAATCCATCTAGAGGTATTAATTAGAGTCATCTGTTTGATGAAGTTGAGTTATTAGAGATTAGATATTTAACAAGTTGGAGTTTTACCTGATAAGTATTTTAAATTCGGAGGCCTGTAGAACTTAATTTTAATCACATCTGATGGTAACATTTCGGTTTCTAACACATCCAACGCGAGGTATTCCGTTCGTAGAGATACAACCTGTAAAAGATAACATGGTATTAGGTTTTTTAGAGTACTGTATAAATATTCATACCCTAGGTGCAGTAAAATTCGTATATTTTTCACAATTAGCAGTTTCAAAGCTTATTAAATTATTTTTTTATATATGTATATACCTAATTTGTTTCACAAAACATAATCAATTCTTTCAAAATAGCTGTTGAACTGTTCGTTCAAAATTATTTAAATTTATTTTTTTCCAAAACAAGCCTCCTCATGGTACCTAAGCGGTAACCTTTACTAATATATATATGAACAGAACCACGGCGACGACTATCGAATTGGTCATGCCGCTAACTCAGGAATTTTATTGCCTAATTTACATACTACAATCGAAACTCACTTGGTCACTTATTTGCTGCTTGGTGCCTGAAATAGGTGAGGCTGATGTCTGTTTACAGTTTAACTCTGGTATTTCGTGATTTTCTGTTCTAAAATTAACATGATATCATGGTAGCAATAAGTGGATATATTAACGAGGATATACCTTATCGAGGATGTACACGATGGCTGGTCCGAGGAAGAAGATCCAGAATCGCGGCGCTCCGGTGAGACGGGCGAGCCCGTGCACGAGGCAGAGTGCGTACAGCGCCACGTGCAGGGAGTGCGCGCGCCAGAACCACGGGTACGCTCGCTTGCGGACGCGCGGGTGTGCGAACACGAACATCACGCACATTATCACGAACAACGCCACGCCGCTTATACCTGCATCAAACATCCCACTATACCGACTGGAGTGGAGAGACTCTATCAAAGTTATTCTAAACATTTGTTATTTTAGATACAGTAGTGTATGAAGCAGAGTCCGTGCGCCACGATCAACGAGTGCGCGCGCGTTTCCTGCGTTAAAGCAGATTGACGGAGGCGGGGAACGGCGCTAATATTATTGAAACTGTGGGAAAAGGGCTATTTGTTTCACAGTAGTGACATTCATATTATTTTAAAACTATTATTCTAAGAACATAACACAATAATTCTAATACTAATACAGTTTCACGTTTTTTTGTAATTAAATGACAAATAAGCTGACGGCCGATCTGAGTAAGTGATAACTGTCCTCTAAAACTACTTGAGTAAATAAGGTTGATAATTTGAAAATTAATAAAATAACTAATAATTTCTTACCAGTAACGGTTTGGAACACCCAATATGTGATCCCTGGCCGGAAGTCAGACGTGAAGTGAACTTCCTTGGTCAGGCATCGCAGATTCTCAACAGGTTGTGTGGACACGTGATAGAAGTTCACCATGTGCCCAGCGGTATGCAGAAGTGAGAAGAACAAAGCAGTACACGCTACTATCTTGTGGAACTGAATACTGGAGTCCAATGGAATATACTGCTGGATACTGAACTCCTGGTGAAAGTATAATCAGTTAAGACTATTTTGCTTTGTCTATCAAATTATGTTATATTATCCTAGTACGTTAAATATATTATATTTGAAATGCATAAGGTATCCAATCCATGAAAACCATACCTATCCACATACACTACTTCAAAATCTTTTAATTTCAATTGAATAATTCCATAGTCACTAAAAATCTTTTTACCTGACTTGAAATAAAAAAAATGTAATACCGAGTACTACACAGGCAAGATATTCTTGACTGTGATAAACCGGGAAAGCCCACGTATAGTCCTAAATAGAGACAAAATGATGATTATCCATAGACATTCACCATCCACGCTTAAATTTTACTATAAATTAAGTTTGGATGCTGAGTAGTGTCTGTTATTATAATAGAGAACCGACTACCATAATATTTAGTGAACATTTCTCTAATCTAAATTTATGAAACACTGCAATAAAATGAGCACCATAACATCATCTTAATTGGAGCAGTATCTAAATAACACAATACCTTGAGTTTAGTTAGTAGATTCCTGGACATTGTTAATAATAGAAGACTGTAGCAGAAGGATAGTGACGCGGCGGATCCTCGAGTGATAGCGATTCCAACTCCCATTATATGTCTCAAGTCCAAATGTTCCGACATGAAGGAATAGTGAGCGAATCTCTCTACGAATAGTCCGATAGTAACTACGTAGAATATGAACAAATAGAAAATGTTTTGCCTATTCTCTTCTAAGAAGGTCGTTAGGTAATCCCATTTGAGCAGGCACCAATGTCTGAAAGTGTTAAAAAAACATAATGATACCTACTAATACCACACTAATAAGGACATTTTGGTATTTCTATTATTTTATTTAAACTTGTCCTCCCGCCAGGGCTGGCATCGTGTTTTCTTTTCTAGTAAATTTGCCTCACTGGGCTTCCTTATCCCATCATTTTCTACTGCTTTCATGTTAGTAGATAAGTAGGATATAAAGAATGTTTATTTTATACAGAATGTTTATAGATTATTAAAGATTAATAGTCTACTAAGGGTTGAACAAACAGGTTAGTAACCAACTCTAGGACTCAGTCGATTATAATGTCTGGTAAGTCTGGTATAATTTTTTCTATTATTGATTTCCATGTATTGTACCTTTATCGGTCACAATATAAAGTATACAAACAGACTAAAATATAAACGCTTACAATAATATTATGAATAAAAGGTACATTCGAAATTTAAACATTCATTTTCCAATAATTTCAGCTGTATGTCAAAAATAATACAAATATAACACGTAAATAATAATAAATAGTAATGTAGGACTTAGAATTGTAATATTTTTAAATTATACCTAGATTGTTCCATAGAAGGTTCAATATGAAAACTGGTCATCCTGGCTACATTAGTTGACGTATCCAAGAAGTTCTGTTTAGCGCCCTTGCAATCGAGACCAATGGCTACAAACTCGCCTTTATATTCTTTCATCATAACTTTAAAGTCTGAATACGTGAGATGATCTTTATGCTGTAGGCCGGCATCCTGTAATAATGTTATGTTAAAAATGAAAACTTGGATAAGTACTGTATTCTGTAAACTACATGCTTAATCTACATAGAGAAACATTTGCTCTCCTACTCAGAATAAGATATATCTAATTTCTTATTAAGCATTGTTCAAATTTTCATGAAAGTGCTCAAGGAAACCTTGCAATTAAATAATTATGTTGACAGTCTTGGTAGTCTAGCGGTTTAGCACACCGCTGTACTTCCGATGGTCGCGGGTTCGATTCCTCGCACGTAACAAATATTTGTGTTCATGAGTATGATTATTTGCATCTGTTCGAGTGTTTTCTTAGTATTTATTTCCTTATATCAGTAATATACTACCTATAATAAAACCTCTAGTCACTTTAGGTCTAGAAGGCGCTATGTAAATTTTGTCGAGACGTTATTATTATAATTATGTGTTAACAGACCAAAAACATTCCATCGATGAGCTCGGTGACATGTTCGTCCCGGAGTGATGTAGTCCGCGCGATCTCGACCAGCGAGCGCAGCATCTCACTCAGCTCACCCTTGTCTATGACGCCGTTGCGATCATTGTCGCACATGTCGAAGATTATACGCAACTTGTCCTCTGTCGCACCACGTGAGAATAATACTACAGTGTCGAGAAATTCCTGAAAATTGAAAAGTATTCACTTTTGTTCAACATACATTTAACATACTGTGAATGGGATAGGATTGCCAGGAACTAAACGCTCCCAATGTACCATTCACATTAGGTTGATTTCTGCACGGACCCCTGGAGACCATCGATTAGTTTCTAGCGAATTCGAATATCCTCCACGGGTATTCCGTATATCTTTTACGTATTACAGTAGTACATATTCATTCATTAAATAATATATATAAATATGTACATACTTTAAACGCTACTGATGATATGAATATTTCCATTAGATGTTGGTTCTGCTATAACTCAGCGCAAAAACAAAGGCGTATGTACAGTATGTTTATACTTGCGGAATTATTTCGACAAATACGACTAAATAATCGAAACCATTGAAATTCAATATTCACTCAGATCATAATTATATTAATGAAAATATTTTTAAGTATATTTATACAATAGTAACAATTATATACCTGGAATGAGATTCTACCATCTCCGTCCTTGTCTACAATATTGAACATTTTCTTGACGAATACTGCATCTGCTTTCATACCGAGAGCGCTGGCGAATTCACTTTTCGACAATGATGTTCTCATTACTATTGACTGCAAAAAATATTTTATTTAGAGGAGACTATAAAATATATCAAAATAAGGAAGCTTTAACTTAACGATAAATGAATACTTACAAATATTTAAAAAAAGTATTTGGAAAACAAATGCAGAGCACAATAAAAGTGGGTAGGTAGTGTACCTCAGGATCAGCATCTTCTGATCTTCTTCGTTTTTCACCAGGTGCCAAACCAAAAGTGATGGCGTACGCTTCTCTAAAGAAGTGCTCGAGTCTGCGTTGCCTTCGTTCTCTGGTTTCAGCTGTAGCCAATATTTGCTCCCGGTGACCCTATCGATGAATTTAATACACATAAGTATCATCATAATTATAGAATTCAGTACCTACAGTGCAAATGCAATTTCACGGAGCATGATAACATGATGTTGCATTCACAAATTTCATAAAATTTTTAACATAATCTATACATATAAATAAAATTGGAGTGTCTGTAATATTGAAATAACCGTTTTTTACTACATGGATATGAATACAAATAATGTACAGACACGAAAATAACATTTTTTACAATTTTTGTCTGTCTATCTGTTTGTTCCGGCTAATCTCTGAAATGGCTGGACCGATTTTGACGGGACTTTTATTGTCAGGTAGCTGAAGTAATAAGGAGTAACTTAGGCCATTTTTATTTTAGAAAAATAAACTTAAGTTCCACGCGGACGAAGTCGCGGGTACAGCTAGTATACAACAAAGTTCAATTACAATTTGAGCAATCATCATAAAATCATAATATAACCTGTTCATATTTTTTTCTGAATTTAATGTTTAAGTGTTTTGTAGTTTGCGATCCTGATGATGATGTGATTTTGAAAGCGTTTCATGTATTCAGATAATATCCAAAAAATTGTTAAGAAGTCAAATTTCATATTATACCTTGAAATAAAAATGAACTATTACCAAAAATCTTATAGCGTATTTTCAAACCGTCATTGTCAAAGTCATGAGGCTACGTTAGCATGCTATCACGACTCCGGTGGATATAAACCTTATCTGGCTCAAGTTTAGCCTAGCCTTCTTGTACTGTGCTAGGACTTTGGTGGAAATAAACCTTACCTGGCTTAAGTTTAGCGCCTTCTTATGTTGTGCTAGGAAGGTATCTAGTTTGACGAGGAACTTCCGCCGCGATGCCACCGAGTCCATTTCGAGCACCAGATCATGTTCTCGTGCCGCGCGGATCAATACCAACGGGCGCTTGTTGTTGCGACCCTCCTGTAACGAAACATAGTGTGTTATACGTTATTATTTACTAGTAGTCGCCGAGTGTTCGAAATTCGACCATAATTAATTTAACATTCAGTCATACTATAAATAATATGAAAAACTCTCATTTATTTCTCATTTTGACCACACTTCATTACATAGTATAAAACAAAGTCGCGGTCGCTGTCTGGACGCATCGGATTTTGAAGCGGTTTTTTTAAATAGATAGAGTGATTCAAGAGGAAGGTTTATATATAATACATGTACACTCGTGCAAAGCCGGGGCGAGTAGCTAGTTAACAATAAACAAAAGAGTGTATTGCGTGTGTGTGACATATGCGTACACACAAATACATGGTAGTATGGTTAATGTTTTTTAATGTATATAATTTAAAAAAAGTATAAGCATTCTGCACTCCTTCTCGATATAAACTATACGTGTGGGAAATTTCATACTCTTGTGTTCGCGCAATTTTCGGAGAAAGGGGTACAAAGATTTTTGCTTCACGTAATTCAGTATTTAAAATAATCATTTTACCTGACTTTCTAGTACTGTGAGTTGATCGGTATGGTCCAAAGGTACGGTGCGCAGTTTATCGCCTTTTCTGTCTGTTACGTGAAGTGCCGGTTCTGGTCCTAGGCGTAGCTTCACCAGTCGTTTATGGGAAGCATGTACCCACTCTCGACACACCATTTTATCTACTGAACCTGAAATATACATATTAATGAGAACTTTCTAATTTACATAATCAGTAAAAAAAGTATCTACCTGTAGGATGTTACATTGTCGATAAAAAACAGGTGTTTTATTTCATTTTAAACTAGCCGAGGTTTCACAAACGTGAAATTTATAGCCTATGTCTAATGTATAAGTTATAATATAGAAAATTAAAATACATACAGTAGTTTCTGCGTGAAAAATTCCACATCCATCCATCCATCCACACTCACAAACTTTCGTGTTTATAATATTAGTAAGAAATACGACAAACAGAGATCCCAACTACATATATACTATACTAAGCCGGACGGATCTGTTAGGCAAATTGTAACATCTCGGCTGGAGGCTCCTCTGGAGTTGTACAAAAGTGGAAATTAAAGAAATACAATAATATTAAAGTAAATTAAAAAAAGGCACGGACGAATATGTCTGTGGAAAATAGAAATTTAATTTAAAAAAAAAAAAGAAACTCCGGACGGATCACTACATTGCAAATAAAACGATACCTTTGTACTGTGCGTTTTTCAGATGCTCCTGTTGTATCTTGAGTCGCCGTCGGCGACTGTTTTGCAGTTTGACCACGCCGTACGCTGCACCGGCGCATAATATCGGTACGAACACGAGCACGAGACACGTGTATATGTAGGCGAATTCGTTGCCCTGTCATGTGAAATGCGTTACATTAAATATTTTGTACTGTTTAGTATTCGACTGAAATATAAAATTGATGTTTAAACTACTTTTTTTATGTAATTAAGTGAATAAATAAATGAATAATGATAAATAACACCTCCTGGTCAATTGACACAATGTCATCTAGTCCTAAGGTAAGTAGAGCTTGTGCTATGGGTACTAGGCAACTGATAAATACTTCGATTGTTTTTGTAAATTTGTACATAATATACACAGAAAACGCCCAGACAAACAATCATGTTCATTAATTGTTTGTAACCGTCTGGGTGTTTTGTAAAGTTTATTACTCATAGCATAGCTGTTTAACTGTTCATATCGATCTAATAAGAATGTACCCGTTTAGAGGTTCTTAAATTAGAATGTAAATATTACTGGACAGTTCACATAACGTCATCTAGACCCAAAGTAAGCAGAGCTTGTATTGTGGGTACTAGCCAACTGATTAAATACATAGATATTTTTTTTCTAAATACATACATAATATACATAGAAATCACACAGACCGATACAAACAATCATACTCATCATTAAAAATGTTTGTACCGTGCGTAGAATCGAATCGGCGACCATCGAGAGTAAAGCGGTGTGTTAAACCAGGCCGGTCAGACCACCGAGGCTGTCAAAGCTTAGGAAAATTATAGTCATCTTATATGTACAAAACTTGTTTGCCATTCGAATTACATATAAAAGTAACGATCATTAAACACTGAAAATGGTTTAATTACCTCAAAATAATCATATCCTTTAAGGTATTTACAGGGTGGTAGTTTAGATGCGTTTAGCTGGTAGGGCTGTGGGCAGGGGTCACCGGCTCGCCAGTGGAACACGTCCCTTTGTATGTCAGCCGGCGCGATCGCAGTGCTGTTCACTATTATATCCCACATTGTAATGCGACGAAGCTCGTCTATTTCTTGTCTTGTAAATATTCTGAAGGAATAAATAATAATCTGGTCTACAGCTACATTATATAACTTAATGCAGACATACAAAATAATTAAAGTCTGTTAAAGCCACTGTCTTTCATTGTAAGTTACAATTTGTGACGATCAGGGGCTATAGTGCTCCTATTATATTATTTTTTATTTATTACATTAACCTCTATTGTAACACTATGGAATGCAAATAAATAAATAAACAATAGACTTTTTACAACGGCAACCATGATTTAACCTAATGAAAAAACATATGTAAGCTATGATAGCTTATAGTGTACATAGTAGATTTTCATATCACAGTAATCTCTAGTTATAGCTTTAATATTACAAATACTGTATTCCGTTGGGACCACTTCTAATAAATTGGACAGAATAAGAAGAATACAAAGAAATAGAAATAATCTTTATTCTTAAATAAACTTAATAAAAGCACTTTTGAATAGAGTTTTCTACCGCTCATTCGGAAAGCAGACTCATCACAAGAAGAATGAGCAAGAAACTTGTGTGTTGCTCTTCTAAATAAATATTGATTTAATTATATTTATATAACAAGGATTACGCATGTGACAATCAACATAGAAACCGCCGCGCACTTAATCAGATAACATTGTCATATGTAATTGTAATATATAATTATAATAAGCATTAATCTAAATCTAAATTCTGAAATAAAATATATATTTTAATTATCTTACCCATTTTTCTCGTTTTCGAACCAAAATCTATCGGCATCTCTTATTCTTGCAAACTGATCCATAATGATGGCTCTGAAAAGTTCACCAGGGTGACCTGTAGACTCTAACATTCCACCTGTGATAAATGAATCATTGTAATGTATTTGATTATTTTGATTGTATTATTTCGATAAATATAATATAAATTTATGCTTACCAATATAAACATCAATATTGTCCAGTCTTGCATCGTATGCTTGAATCAATTTTTGTAATAGTTCTGGATTATTTTCGAATAGTTCCGGATTAATTTCATTAAAAGTTTTCACTTTAGATAATCCAAAATATTCTCTGAAAATTCAAGTATTAAGAAATTTATATTATGTTATACAATTTTCTATATTAATTAATGTACAAAACCGAATATATACATAAACAAATGATTGTATACATTATGATGAGCGATCGATGCTTCAGGTTATATAAATGTAAATATCTTCTTAATTCCTACCTGGCAGTATTATAATCTGGTAATCCATTATCTCTTCCTCTCATTATGTTAAGGGCTCCAAGATCTCGCCTTGAGAATTCCATAGGTCCAAATAAGTTATCTCGTACATCCGAGCACAGTAAAGCATCCTCACGTTCAGACAGTTGAGATGCCATCCCCATAAGTATTTCTTCTATAGGCACTTGTGACATAACATCCTAAAATTACAACAAAGATCTTCATAAATAATAAATATATATACATAAGGTTAGATATACTTTAATTTATATTAACAAAACTATAGACACGTTTACTATATATTTTTTATGTTGGTATACAATTATAAGGTTTTTGTTTCTTTTTATATTCACAAATGTATGATTTTGCATATAATTATTGTTAAATATCGATTATTTAATAATTAATTTTCTCTGTCTAAAATAATATAGTTTCCTATAAAATGGTCATTACAATACAGTATTATATACTTGCATTTCCATCCCACCAAGTCTGACATAGTCTCACAGCGTCGTGTCCACCGGGAGCTCTGCTATATCTGCAGCTTCTGTCTCTTAGCAATATAGCTGGTGGGACCAGAGTATGACCGAAACGAAATGCAGCCACTGCGAACGCGTGCGTGATACCTGGTGCCACTTCTGCTTTGTAGCCATTGTATTTTGGAAGCGGCAACCCGAGGAAAGCCGGCACATACTCGTAAAGAATAATATTCTGAAATGTTAATTTATTTAAATAAACACAATTAAATTAAATAATAAATTTAAGGAACTCTCAATATAATAAATTCGTATATAGATTATATAAAGAACAAGTCATAAATATATTGCAAAAAATCTCAAGTTAAAAGTAAAGGGAAAATACATGTAATTATCATATAATTAATGTTTGTTTTTATTACCAAAGTTTAAAGTAAAGTACCAAAGTAGATTTTTAAAGTATTTAAAGTTGTTGCTGTAGTAATGGTCACATATTTTTATAGTTTATATTATTATTGATTGAACTTTTTATAGTTTTTTTGTAAATGATAGACAACACAAACATTTAAAAAAATACCTGTAAGCTAGCTATAACAATGCGTCTCGCTCGTTGGAAGAGCTGTTCATCGCTCCAGTCTGGATGTTGGCGGTGGACCCGAGCTGCCACCACGTTGTGCCACCGCAGCAACAGGATACCAAATGTGACCATCGCCGGGTTCTGGTTAGTACGCGGATCACCGAGTACTACGTAAAAAGTATAAAGATCTTTATTTTGTACATGTCAAGGTAGACAATTGCGAGAGATCAATAATTATAGAAGTACCAAAAATAAGGGTTGAGTAAAGTATATATTCGTATACACTATACTTTACTCGACACTATACACTATACAATATACCAAACTTTTATGATGCCAAGATACTCATAGTACAGAGACACCTAGTTTGCACTTTTGTTTCTCTTATACAAATGTCCAGTCTCATTTGTAATTTATAAAAAAGTTGTTTCATTGCATATAAAGAAAATAAAGTTATTATTATTGATATCTATTAATAATTTACAATGTTAAATATCTACCTAGAAAATTTATTATAATATAAAATATACATAAAAATAGAAAATGTAGATAATAATAGAATGATAACTGACTTACAATACAGTCTCTCCGGGCTCAGCATGCGCATGTAGTGTGGCACTGGATTATTGAAAAGCGGCACCCGTTTCGTGTTTCTTAGAGGCATCCCTCCCTCACTCGCTAGGCTTCCATTCTGTATTTATAGATTTTGGTTTATATAAAATTATTTTAATTAATTAGTTATATTTACATAATACATACTAGCTATTACCCGGGACTTCATCTACTTTTTTAAGATAAATAATAAAAAATAATAACCATGTCCATGATCCTGATTTTATTAATATTCAATCGGCTTTCAGTCGTAAAAACGTAACAAACAGATAAACAGATACTTTCTTAATAGTAATATTAGCATGGATGCAGTTATAAAATAAAATATTAATGATCTTAATTACAATATCAATTTGAGTCAATTCGGTGTCGGATAAACTTTCTAATCCATTGAATTGATACAAGCTGTACTTGTACAAGTACAGGTTTGGAGATTAACTGAAGTAACGATAAAACAGTATAGATAAAAATTATGTTATTTAATTATAAACTTTAAAGTACTTTTTACAAAAAGACTTTTACAATTTTGTTGTCTCTGTTTTAAAATGTCAATGTACAAATATTTATTTATAATACTGGTAACGAGAATATCCGCACGTATTATGTAGTGTATGTACATGACAAAGGAAGATTAACTTTTTAAAATTTTAATTACCGATCTCATATAAGTCTAAAATATACCTCCATCTCCTATTTCATAGGACGGAGAATATTAAAAATATTGCATAGGCTAGACTTTTCTATAGACAGTGTTATATCAGTATGACAGGATCATATGAAGCTAATTACTTTCAGCAGTGGATCACGAATAGATAGAAGAGATGATGCTGACAACATTTGTTTATGATATACAATTAAAAATAGTTTCTTCATTAAGTAACTTACATAACAGCTATGATTGTAGCAATGATTAAACATTGAGTATTTCGATGCTCTATAAAGATTGTGCTCGTTAATGAGTACGAATGATCCATGTAATTAAGACAACGAACCTATATAATTTGAGGTAATACATCTGAGTCCTCCGGAATAAGAACGCAAGTGTACCTTGGAAGTCACATGATAACGTTATGTCCTTAGTGCTGTTCATGTACATGTAGGTAACGGTTACCGTATATCGTAGGCTTGTTTACCATTCCAATTACATAAAAAAAGTATATAAATGTACGTAAAGAGGCAGGCGTGGCTGCTGGGTGGCACCTGAAATGACCTCATTGCATTCACCCACGCCTCACTGGTGCTGTACACGAAACTGCCATCGATCCACGACGTTATCTGATTTATCTGAAACAATCACATATTTGAATAGCTAAGGCATGGTGCAATAAAAATAAAATGCTAAAGATAATAAATGATGCAGTAACTTCATTAAGTTCTTTCTTTCTTTAACGTTGTTGGATGTAGGTGATTATAGAAAAAGGTTACTTGATCTTGTTTCTTGGAATAGTGTTGAGAAGGATGTAGCGAGACAGCTTTTGAAACCTATATTCAATTATTTGATTTATTATAGGTACCTACTTCTATCGAGTAGTTATGGTAATAGATTTTATGTTTATTAAAATTAAATCTAATTAATATAATTTATTTATTAGTTTAATAATGATTTGCCTATAAAGATGTAATAATAAAAAACAAATTAATAAATTAATATCGATGGACATATTTTACACTGCAAATAATTGGAATTAATGGTTAATAGACACAGCTGATAAATATTTCTTGTCATATAAACTTAAATAAAATCTCATCCAGTACTAAGAGGCATACATGTGACTGCAAATGATTATATTGGGTTTCTAACCTGCGATTATCGGAAGGCCGTAATCTGTCACAAAATACATGTAAATATGCAGTTTCTGTATTAAACTGCGGGAGAAGGAAAATTTGAAATACAATCTTGTACTAAGCTGTCAGCCAGAAATAGTTCGGTTAGTACTTACTATACTACATATGTATATTAAGCCTACGATTATATTTTAATCTTGGAATAAGAGATATACCCAAGCGGTACGATGAGTATTGTTACTGCTTCGATCCGTCAATGGAAGTAGAGATGATGATATTATCGTTTATAATAATAATTTTAATAGTACGACTTTTAAACATTTACAATGTAACACATTTACCTTATAAATAATTCAATAAACAATAACATTCCTTTATTTAATTAAAGAAGGAATACGTAAATAGCTACATACCGTTATTTATTAGAATTTAATTGCTGCAAACCTATGTGATCAAATCTGGGTTAAACAGAGCTATTAAATTTTATTACGTAGTTGGATATATTAGCTGGAATTTGGCCTTCAGTAGACATGTCACGTCAGCTACTAATATATGTGTGTTTTATATTGGACTGCATGATACGTAATAAGAAGCAAATAAATATTTAAAAATTGGCAGCAGATATTTGATTAGTTCAGCATTATTAAAAATAAGCCAACCCGGTCGAAATGCGAATATAGTTCAGTCATCACAATATTTTTAATTATATTGATATAATTTACACATTGATAATAAATAATAAGCTTAAATGTGGTTGAAATATAACACTGTTTTCAGCAAGACCCTTATATATTTGTTTGCAAATCGAATTATTTTTTAAATAAATAACGAAAGATATAAAAAATTTTATGTATTTAGATTATTTGAATTTGATGACGCACATTTTATCTAGGTCAAAATCATTAAAGACAAAGTTGCATTGCTGATAAGATATCTACAAAACTAATTTGCAGCAGGATATGTTATGTTTTAAACACATTTCTTATACTAATATCCAGCGGTTAAAACCGCAGCATATCGCGTGAAATAAAATGAAACCTACATATGCTATTCAAATCTTAGATACAGTAAATTTGATACTCGTACATAGTGTACTAAATTTTATTTAAACAGAATATTCGAACGATTTTACAAAATTGCATATTACTAAGACAAGGATGTCAAAACTCTTAACCGGTCGAAATTATTAGGCATATAATAATTGACTTGTTAATAATTTTAGATATAGAAATGACAATTGTATTTTAGTTATATCAGAATATGAAATAATAATTATTGTACATTGATTTTGGCAATTGTTGGAATTTTTAATCGACAACATCTAAATAATCTGTGGACGGTAAGTGTTTTATTTTTGTTGTTTCGTAGTAATCTATCATAATTCTTTAAGTAAACACAATTTATTTAGATTCCAATACAGATAATATAGGTAAATAAAATAAGGTTAAGTATATAAGGTAAGGTATATACACCTAACAGTATATGATTCAGACAATGTAACTAGTGATGCTAGTATCAGCATTAGAACAAAAACCAGACATATAACGATGCATTATGTTTGTTATGCACATATCTATTTATAACACATCTGTGTTATAAATAGATTACTTGATAATTTTTTTTGGATAAATTATATAATTTAATATTGTATGCATATACGATTTTTTTCGGACTACTCCAATGCTTTTGGCCGCAGCTGGCCTTTACAGTTAATACGTAAAAAATTTTAGCTTATATTTGTACTTACTTGTTCCCTAGGGCTGTTTGGACTCTGACCAGTAGAACGATCATAGGCGGCTCTCAAGAATGGCATATACTTGGCCCCTTGGCACTCAGGATCATACATGTGATCGCATTTATCTACTGGTATCCGATGGTGTTCGATGGGGCAGCCAGATTCTGATGCCATAACGATTTCCCCCGTCACTACTTGTCCTGCATGTAAAAAGTATTATTCTATATGTATTCTGTATCGTATTATCATAACAAAGTAGACATAATTATAAGATATGGGAGGCCATTTATTTTGACGAATGTATTTTTGGAATTGTATGATTGTTTGTATTGGTCTGGGTATTTCTGTGCATATTCTGTATATATTCACAAAAATGTATCTATGTTTTTATATCACTTGTCTAGGATCTATAACACAAAACTCTGCTTAGCTTGGGACTAAATGGCGCTGTGTAAATTGTCCTTATATATTATTATTATATATAAGTATGTAAATTTTAGCTTACTCCCAACAAATGAATACCCATCAGCTTCCATTGGTCATGGATGATGAAAATTAATAGATTGTAGTCGAAGTATTAGTAATTATGATTTTTGTATGCATTATTACGATTGAGAAGAACGTTTTATTAACAATTATTCATGTCCTAGTATATAGTAGTAGAAATAAAGACTTAAATACAATTAATAATTAAATACCAATAAAGACTAAATTATAAATAATGTTACAATTTTTTCCCGGTTATTTAATAACGAAAAGGAAAAGTATTTTGGACACTGTTTTCCGCGTATAGTTTCTCATTTGGGCCATTGTTTGTGTTGAGCTGTGACTACTAAAGTACGCATCCCAGCTCCTCCTAGAAGCGCAGAAGCCTGGTGTCTTCATAGGCTTCTTTCTTAATACGTAAAGTGAACATGAATTATACCAAAGAAGGCAAGTAAAGCAGTCCGGTTCGCAAGTGATGGTAGTCCATCTTGCCCCCGCATGAACAGTTTGGATAAAGTCCTGGCTCCTGGTCGATCTGCACCGGCTATCATGTACACGCCATCTGCGTATGACGCCGGAGTTTTGCGCGTTAACCGACTGCCTGTGGAATAAATATAATGTTTCAATGATATACATACATATTCGTAAAAGAGAATATGAATATGCGAAGAAGAGATGTCTTCTCAAAAGTCGATGTATTTGGCATGGTAAAGATTTTATCGGTATTTTGTATTTGTTGTCTAATTTGAACAGTAGTAAAAGGTATTGAACCACATAACATAACATAGGTAGGTAATCTATTTTATTTTACGTTTCAATACTTGATATTTATATAAAATATCGGATTAAAATCTAAGGAAATATAACAAATATTTTGATTTTATTGATGATGAATTCATGAGTATATTAATTCATTTTAGAAGTCAATTTAATTTCAGGTATCTTATATGTAATGTAAACTTTGGAATATGGTTTATTTGTGCGCTAAGTTTCATTTATTTGCAGAAAAAGTTTGTTCTACAGGCATGGCAGTGCTTAATTCTTTTTCATCACTCATTCGTATGTCATAACACCCGTACCTAACTGATATGGAGAGTATAATTTCACACAAGTTTTTATGTCTTGCATGAATAATTTACAGTATTTACAGTATATTACTTTTGTAGATTGTTGAAGAAACTAATTATCATCCGAGGATATTACGACAAACCCGATCAAAATACGAGACATGTCGTTGCGGACAATTTTGCTGTAACTGGAGCACTCAAAAGTGACAGCAAAAGAGAATGCATAGACATATATGGTAAACTGATAATACCTGTAAGGTGTTTTTGCTTTCCGTTCTCATGTAATTAATCGATTCTTCGAACGATTTGTTTGGTCAACATATCTTTACAACAAATTGCAGTTGCGTGTAAAGACTGAAAGGATTTTAATTATGGTGCTGTAATTGAAAAATTTAATTGGTTATATAGATATCACGTATACTTAATACCTTAAAATGACTATATTGAGTTATTTAAATTATACATAACAGTTTGAGATAATTAAGCATGTCGTGACTATAGGTCTACTACCACTATTTAAAATCTATCTATAAAAAATAACTGTGTGTGCCAACTTATATATCTAACTCAATCTCCGATAAAGAAAGAATTGATTCAAACCAAAAATTAATCTGAGAAATCCTAACCCTCCCACTACCACGTTCAATTAGAATCAGTCGCTTCATATTCATCTTAATTGGATTAAAATATAAATATATCTTGAATAAAGTTGGGCATGTGAAATGTTGCGTTGGATATTGAAAGTTGCCAATGTCTTTACTTATCTAAGAATACAGTCGTAACGGTACATCCAAATATATAGGTAGGTATATATGGTAACAACTCATGTCCCCTTAAATAAATTGTTTTGAATTTCACATAATAACTAATGCATGTTATCAATTCGTGTAGTGATTGATTCATATATATAGTTTGGCGCTAATTTAAGATACTCGTGATGCTGCGATGGTGCAATCTTTAGTTCATATACAACATGAATAACAAATTAGGAACAAGGAGAAACGACCACAGCCATCGGCAATTTCGTTGCATGCCTAATAATAATCATTATTGTAATACTCGACCATTTATCGATACCAATAATATAAATTATTCACTTCAACAGTTAACAACGTGTTCAAACTAAGTCATTGTTATTCTTTAACAAATTATAGCGTAATTATTTTAATGAAAAACGCTGTTGTTTATTAATCTCAATGGCAATACTTTATAATGCAACTCTTAAGTGCCCTCAGCAATGTTCAATAAAAATCGAGTATTGGATAATTTAATAGGGCAGTATTTGTAATTACATCGTAATATGTATAGATACAATTAAGTATCAATAAATACAATGTTATTCCATTTCTGAGGATATATGAGGGTAAAAATATATAGAAGTATAAATATTTAAAAGAGATGGTGCTCGTACATTATATTGATAATAGTAGGAGGAAAGATTATGAAATATGTGAGTTTCGAGAAGGTCATAAAAAAATATTTATTATTCAGTTGTAACTTTAAGCCTTTCCTAGTTTCTAATTCATCACTTGTTTCCATTTCATCAAATTGTTGGTCGTAAATATTAAGAATATGTTGTGAATAATACCAAAAATAGTCATCAGATCTTAATCAAATTTATAGAAAACCATACAAGATGCACTAGCTAGCATATAAGAAAAGAATGATTAGAATCTTTTGAAGTACAACATATAAAACAATAGTTATATATAATTGAAAACTTTTTTCTACCGACTTTAAATTCCTTTTTTAAAAGTCTGCTAAAAATCGGGCCAATTCTGCGTTTGTAATTGATGTAGCTGTGAAAGGTGATATACCAGTTGTCATTACAGAGCAGTGATGAAAGAAACATATCGCTGCTCATGGATACGACGGAAACCTGAGCAGATACACTTCTTAGATTACAAGCGTACAGCTTATCTCACAACTACGTTTGCTCAACAGGTTACGACAAATTAATAACGTCAATATCTAGCCTAGTCATCTTGTGCTTGATTCTTGGTCAGCTGTTTGATGCAAGAAATTAAGCACTATCTACCTACTTTGAAGTTCCATTAACAACTTAGGTCCAACTCTAAGAAAAGACATTATGTTTTTATTATTTCATTATATTTCATTTTTATAATATATATAATAAAAAAGAATATGTTTTATTTAAAAATACAAATCTAGTAGTTATGTCCATTGCTATGTATTAATTGCAAAGCGACATTAAAATCTTTTCGAAATATAATTTCTTGTAATGTACAACAGTAACCCATATTAACAATGCCGTACTTTTAAGAGTTAGTTCAACAACAGATAATAAAATATGTCAACCCAAGCAATCAATAGTAGGTTATCTATACATTGATATTGTCATTAAATTACTTTCTTAATACTTGAATATAATTTAAATTATACATAACTACGCGTTGAAGTCTTTTACTACAGGACTTTCGTTTCACATTTTGTTGTATAATATTAAACTTACAGTAATTTAATATCTATTGTTAAAAAATACATAAACATTCTAAAAATAAAAATGCGTATAACATTATTTGTATTTGTCTATGTGCGTATCAACTCGCAAAACGCTCTCATTTAAACAAGTCCTTATAAAAAATAAACTAAAAACATTAAAGCAAGGTTAAGTCGATAAATCATATTATATCTAAATCAAATATGACTTGATTAACGTCAGTTCAGATAATGACAGCTGACAAATAGATTTAAACACAGTTGAGTATCTCATGAATAGCCGATTGTGTACTAAAATAACAAATGCGATTGATAATTTCTCTTATGTAAAAGTTACTGTATTATTGTTGTCTGTAGGTATTACTAATAATTAATATTAATCTGATTGACCATTTGTACAAAATGTGATTTCTAAAATGTTGCAATAAATCGTTACATTGTGTTATTACTTTTATTTGAATCGATTTCTAGTGTGAAATTAAGCTATCTGTCTTAGAATATAATATAACAATAATATTACTCCTAATATTTCAGAGTTCTGTGACTAGTCCCAGTTACAATAAATTGTTGAAAATTTATAGATAATTTATTTATAACTAGAAACTAGAAACCAGATATTGAATATTTTCTTATAGCAAATGAATTAGCCAATGATTTATTACTGTTTTTGTAAAAACATATATAAGTACTAACCATAATTCTGAATGACATGAAGTGGAGAGGTTTTTATATTTTTACACAATATTATATACCTACGTAGGCCCTGCCTGTGCGTACGTCTATACGTATTTATAAATCTGTTCACGAAAATCAAATAATTATGATTAAGAGCATTTTAATCATTGATGCGAGAGGCGACACAACATTTGAAGTAGTTGTTGATGTTTATGCGCGACTAATACAGTTCACACGTAGGAGGGCCGCTTGCATGTTTGCAATTTTAATAGCTTAAGTAAATACTATATCAATACCCAAGTTTTACTTTATTTCCCATACAAAACGTTTAAAATATAAATAATATACTTAAAAAAATTGATGTTAAATTTACTTACCGACTGACCCCCAATCTGGATAGGCTCTGTTATTGAACCAGCCATCGTATCGCTGTTTCTCGTAGTATATTTCTGAAACAATAAAATATATTACAATGTAATTAATATGTAAAATTTTCTAGTTCATACGAACGAAGTAAAATTTATATGGCTGTTGTCTAGTTATAAATTGTAGTGCCAATGTTTACTTATAAAAATCCACTTATAATTACCGCATATACTAGCACCTATAGTAAGATTACACATATTTATTAAAATATTGTAATTGAAATTCTTTATTAGTGATGTACAGATAACAAAGGTTTTAGAATAAATAATGAGTTACACTATCTTATGCAATTACCTATGTGAACAAATATGATTGAAGAAAAAAGAATATAGGTATTATTGATTATATAAATAGAAGAATATAAAAATGGATTATATATATAATAAATCTTCGTCATCCAGAAATTCATTTCTGCTATAATAATCTTTTACAATAAATATTTTTTCAAAATCAATTTGAAATGTTTTCAAATTGTGTAAAACACTAAGTCTATATGATCTAACGTCAATTAATCAACTATAATATATTATTTATACAAACTAATTACTAACGATCCTTTTTACACATTCTTAACAAAAATATTATATTTAATAATATATCTATATTCACGGAATTATATAAAAATTCCGTGATTCTAATTCCGTAATATTTCCGTGATTCCACATCAAATTAGATTACAGAATCAAAATAATAGGTACCATCAAACCCTGAAAATACAGAAAACAAGGGAAAACAGAATAGTAGAGGATTTTCTATTTTAGAACATTTTAATATTCACGACAATGACTTCGTGAATATAAAAATGTCATAATACTTAAGCATTTGGGCATATCAATGATCAATACAATAGACTACAGGATCATTAATTGCTTATTTAAGGCACGTCATTGTAATTATCCCTTGCTTACGTGCTTGACACTAGACACAAAGTGGTCGCTCGTTTTTGTGAGTGCGTTCCAGATACTCGTTGCTCGTACGTTCCGATCGAGACCTTGCGCGGTCCACTCTAACCGAGATGCATCGCTAATGAGACCCTCATTACATATACTGAACTGAACCAAGAATTGTATCAGAAATAATACACGTAAAAGTCTATATCGTTCAGGGTTATACATTCTTGTAGTAGTTCCCAACCAGTTGATATGAGACAATATAGCAAGTATACATATTGTATTTGTAACGACCGATCACGTAATATAAATCTACTGTGCTCGTATCTATGTGTAAAATATAATTTATTGTATTTTAAAAAGAAACTTACTTTTGTATGGTTGAAATAATATTCTTTATGATTTAATATAGTAGGTATGTTTAACGAAATAGTACAACAATAGTATTGAAGTATATAGTTCTTTGTAATTTATCTAGACAGCCATAAAATAGCAATTTCTTTAAGTATATGGTGCAATTGTTGAAATAATAAATGTACATGTCCCAAAAGGTGTCTATAGGGGCTTTACAAGCTATCATGAATTGTTAGGTTGCCAAATACCCTAGGCCACACATTGTTCTTTAATTTCTTTTCAGACAGAATTTCTTTAGTGCCATTATCGAATCAATTTTAGAGAGTACGAACTCTCCAAAACTGGATATAAATAATAAAAAATACTATTTATTGTATAAAAATAAATGATAGTATTCTACATATACGTGGAATAAAACGGACTCTAGTCAGCTTCATGTCAGAAATAGATAAGGCGATGGTACCGTCATGTGTACTGATAGGTATATAAATGTAAATTCGAAACATTTTAAAATTTAGCTTTATTACTGTTATTCTCACAAAGTACTACTTATTAGTATATTTCAATGAAAATGGTAGTAAATTATTTGTATATTATCACAATATATAAAAAGTTATGAAATTAATAATAATATGCCTGTGACAACTATTGGAAACGAAGTCAACTATCCTTATTGGTAATTTTTATTACAGAATGTTTAGAGGTATTTCAATCAGGTTTTATCACACCTGGGTATTCGCATTCATGCAGCATGGTTATTTTATTTGAAACTAAATTTGTTGCAATTCCTTAAACATACCTATAGAATACCTCTTTTATTTATGGTATGATTGTACTTTAACGAGCAAATGTTAAATTTATTGGATTGATTGTAACAATAATAAAATAATAATTGTGAGAAAGAAAACCACTTTTGAAAATAATGTAGTTTTAATACAAAGAACGAAAATAGAACACGTTGCTAATAGAAATTTAATCAATTTTCCATTTGTTACTATTTTGTATTGTTTTTAAGTAGATGCTCGAAGTTTTTTTTTTCTAAATTTGAGCGCGTTTGACCGCAATAACTCAAGAAGAAGGTGCTAGTAACAATAAATATATTACGTTAAAAAGTATAAAAATATTTATACAATTAAATATCTTTTATAATGTACATACGCTGTTCACTGAGCAAAGAACAAATAGCTACGTCGGCACAGTCAGCAAACGATTGTAAAGATACAAAATTATTAAATAAATCAATACAATAATTAGGTAATTCAATGTATAGGTAATGACCGTAATGATTAATTGTTACTATTAAATTCACGATTAATGTTTAAACGATGTGAGTACAGACAGCCCATCTTTATTGCATTACTTCGGACAATATCAGAAACTCATTTAAAATAATAATATGAACATATAAATCAGTTTGCTACTTTATGAAAGGCCAGTGATTGGTCTTGTATTGGAACATTATTGAAAGGTTAACTTCAATGTAAAATTGTAAATAATATAGGTATCCTGCATGTGTAAATCTACTAGAGATAAATAGAACGTGTTGCACACCTGCCAACTTAGTAGTTTGATATTTTTAAATTTATTTCTATAAATACCAGACACAGATAAATAAACAAATTTAAAGGTCAAGATCGTAAATACTATGTATTTACGCCTCACTAGGTATAATAAAAAGGAACTGCTTTCTTTTTTCTAGAAATTGTCTGCTATCACGATTAATTAATTTTATTGTCATGAAGAAGTCACTACTTTATTTCTTTTTATTAATGAAAATTTTCCGAGGTTAGAGAAGAGAAGCCGTATCAATGTTATAAAAATTAGTATATTCGTATGAAAAAGTCAATTGACACTAAAGCGGCAATAGATAGATAGTCAGTAAATTTCAATACATTCCATGTTTGTATGCAATACATTTATTAAATTAAAAAGGAATACAATTCTTCGTATTCTTTTTTATACGGAAGACTTCATAAAACACGATTTCAAGAATAAAGATTATTAGAATAGTGAAAAAAGATAAATTTTAGAAATTAAGTAAATAAAGCTACTTGGAAACCAGGGTCAAAATTACGATATGATGAGGAAAGAATAGGGCAGAAATCTGTCTAATTTTCATGAGAAAATATTGTTTTTTATGGTAATTAAACAACTATTAATCGTTACCTAATTTGCACAAATATTTTATAGGAGCAACAGTACGAATATTAAATTAGCAATGTTGATAAGTAATGGTATATATGTAGTCGTAATATTAGGAAAATTAACTTCCTATTATTCGTAAATAAAAACCGAAATCTACATATTATCATATATTCAATGTGTTTACAGGTAGTAACAATAATGAGTTGTGTAATGTAATGTATAGAAATATTAGTATATTTATGTAGTTCAATATTTAATATATTCATTATCATTAAATAAGTAATACGTAAGAGTATATTCATTAACACATATCAATAGGGCAAGTAGTAATATAAAAGGTGTAACGAAACATATTATTATGAGATTTGACCCTTATTGTAATGTATTAGAGTTCTTGAAGGTTTATAGATTTATGTATAGACTGTTCAATGTTAATTTAAACAAAGCTGTTACTGATCTACTGTTTGTCAATTTGTGGGTGCGACAGTTGACAGGAGCAGTAGAAGTACATACGTGAATATATGCATACATAACTGTTCTAGTTTCATAAATTGAATTGAGTAAGAACTATTATTGTGAAAGCGTTTAATTGTTTTCTAATAATTTAATTATTTATTTACAATGGAATTAAGTACTAAGAACAGTTCATATACGGAATAAGTATATAACATAGTTATTTCGTATTCTGATTTTGCTAGCTATCTTTTGATCTCCTTTGCTATAGAGCGTTTACTAAAAATTCTTTCTTTTCCAAAGAGTAGAGTAATCAAAATATGCGATTGGGTAAAATTTGGATATTTATATTTTATTATATTTATTTTATAATAGAGGTGCTGGTCTAATTTCAATATCGACACATTATTTTGTAGTCTTCATTTAAAGTAATCAAGACTAAACCAAATAAATCTTTAACAATATCGGTTCCTTCGTTTATTGATTCGTTTGTTGGTATTGTATAATTCATGAGTAAGAAAAGAAGCTTAAGTGCGCAATCTAAATCCATTGGATTAGAATTAGTTTAATAAATATAATAAGACATCGAGTTTTTTGTACCTATTGCATTAATAATTAATGGATAAGACGTGAACGTAAGTTAGTATCTGATTAAAATCGTGGTTTCATATTACACAAACTTAGATTATGACGATATGAGTTACCGATTATAATAATGATAGACTGATCTATAGTGAACACAAAGTAGTATAATAAAAGTATAATAAGTCAAGGTAATTAGATAGAGTCATATTGACATCGTCTAATTATTTATTACCTTCGCACCTCTTACTTACATTTTAATTTAAACAAAAGATATGTTACCATATTTCTAAAATTATACACATTACTTTTTTCCTTCGTTTATAATAAACTAATCATTTTTTGAAAGAAAAATATATCAACAATATTTTTGATTAGTGGGAATAATTAGAATTACCGAGATTAATATATATACATATATAATACAAATAAACACTGACTACTATAAAATTATAAAACACACAAGTGTATAAAGCTGGGAACCACGGGCAAAAAATAATATATGTAAGTATATAATATATAAAATATTTAAAAAATAATATAAATATTGAATGGCCTGTATTTGATACGATTATGCCTGGATTCTAATTTTCGGTTAC